CTCCATTTTGCAATAGAAGATTTCTAACCTCTCGGAGTGAACTGCTCATGGAGTGGTATGTTGCATAGTCTCTTGTGAACATGTTAAAAACGTCCAGAGAGCCAGAATATATCAGAGTTTCCTGGAATCCCAATTTATGGCCGAGCTCCAGTCTGTGTTTGATCGCCAGTAGCTCAACTTCTCTGACAGAACATATACCCAGAGATTTTATGAATCCCATGATCCATTTTCCTTCATGGTTCCGAATTAATCCTTCGCATACCGCTTCTTATCCGTATCTTATCGAGCCATCAACATCGATTCGAATTGCATCCTATGGTGGTGGTGTCCATCTTGGTTCTTGATCCCCCACCTCCTTATATACTTGACGATAAAGCTCATTGTTTGTCACTTGTTCCATGATGAGATAAGAGCATTGGTGCACAAGATCCAATGTAGATCGCGTGGTTCCTTCGAAGACATATTGGCATCTGGAAGTCCATAGAATCTAGCAACCCAAACTAAATACTCTGTTCCAAGGATTGGTGCGAAGAGATTTTTTCCCCGGGCTATTTCGAGTGTTCCACTTGAGCCATACCTGCAAATTACCAGAAAAGAAACTAGAAGTATGGTTAGTTAATAACATTTGACTCCAAAAGTTTCTAGCTCTCTCACAGTCTCTTAGTGTATGTAAAATGCTCTCCTCACTCTGACACAGAAAAGGACATTCACTCGAATTGGATAGACCCCATTGAGCTCTTAGTGAATTTGTGAGTACTCTCTCATAAGATAATTGCCACATGAAAATTTTGACTTTCTCGGGGATCTGCCACTTCCAAATCTGGTTGCAAATGGATTGATCTGCTATTGCCTCTTCCTTCATCAAGAATTTATAAGTAGAGTTAACAGAAAAAGCCCCATCTAGAGCAGGTCTCCACTGAAAGCTATCTTCATGGCCAAGACTTGGGGGTTTCAGCCTTCTGATGATATTTATGACCCACTGAGGTAGATTTCCTAGCCATCTGGAGGTATCCCAATATCCAGTGGCAGTAACATGTTCACTAACCTTTTCAGATATATTGATTCCTCTTGGGTTACCTACATAGGAGATCAGGGGTCTAGCCAGTGGTGCCCATAGGTCTATCCAGAAAGTTGTGTTTTGGCCATTATGAATTTTCTTCCCCAACCCAGAAACAAAACAATCCCAAGCACCTCGGATAGCTTGCCATGTTCTTGACTCTGTCTTTTTCTTAATAACATTTGGCATATCAGCAATACCGCAACCGTATTTTGCCTTCAATATTTGTACCCATAAAGCATCTTCCTTCATTAGTAAACCCCAGCAGAGTTTAAGAGTGAAAGCTTGATTTTGTTTCACCAGATTCTTTAAACCCAGGCTGCCGGTTTTTTCCTGTTTTGTAACCGTCTCCCAAGATATAAGGTGTAGTTTCCTTATGTTTTCATCTTGTGACCAGAGAAATCGCCTGCTAATTTTTTCGAGCTCCTGAAGGGTCCTTTTTGGAAGCATTTAAGACTGCATTTGATAGCTTGGTAGAGCTGATAGAACAGATTTGATAAGGACTGACCTCCTTGCCATAGTAAGGTGTCTACATTTCCACAGGGATAGTTTTGTTTTAGTTTTCTATATCAACTTCTTAAAAGTCTCCTTAGTAACCCTTTTATGAAGTAAGGGTACTCCTAGGTACTTCCCTAAATTAGATGTCAGCCCAATACCAAGACTCTGACTGAGTTCATTTGCATGGTTAATGTGGATATCTTTTGAGCAAAACATCTTAGACTTTACCAAGTTTACTCTGTGGCCCGAAACCTTGCAAAACTTCCCTAAGACCCATTTAATTTCCTCCATCTGGTTCATGCTTGCCTCTGTGAAGAGAATTAGATCATCAGTGAAAAATAGATGTGAGACTGCTGGTCCATTACTTACAAATTGAGTGGTTTCCATCTCTTGGCTAAGCATTCAGCTCTGATAGTATGGCTTAGTCGCTCCATACAAAGCACAAAGATATAAGGGCTCAGGGGGTCACCTTGTCGGATCCCCCTAGAGGGCTTGAAGTTTGGGCTTTCTTCCCCATTCCAGAGTACATATAGTGAAGCGGTACTGATACAAGCCATTATAAGATTGATAAGATTCTCTTCAAGGTTGAGGCATTTTAGGGTGTCTCGGATGAAAGACCACTCTAGTCTACATATGCCTTTTCCATGTCAACCTTGACAGCCACATATCCCTTTCTTCTTCTGCTCTGACGCATGGTATGAATAGCCTTTTGAGCAATAATAATGTTATCACAACTCGACCTGCCTGCTATGAAACTACATTGTTCTTGACTGACTAGCTTTCCCATTACCCCTTTTAGTCTAGTGGCAATCAGCTTAGTGACAATCTTCAGTGTGATGTTACACAAGGCTATCGGTCTTAGATCTTTGAAGGTCATAGGAAAGTCTACTTTCGGAATAAGGACAATTCTGATTTGGTTAATTTTTTCCACCAGAAGAGGATTCAGAAAGATACTTCGTATTAAGTCAACCACCTTGCTCCCAATCAAAGGCCATTGTATCTGAAAAAAGTGTGCCTGCAAGCCGTCTGGACCTAGAGCCTTGAAAGCTCCCATATTGAAAACCGCTAGCTTGATCTCCTCTGGTTCTGCTATCTTGGATATTTCTCTGATTTCGTCTGAAGCTAGGGAAGGGAAGTTGGCCAGCTATCCTGAAGGGTCCCCTATCTGGTTATTACTACTGTATAATTCCTGGAAGAAAGCTGTCGCCATCTGTTTTAATCTAGCTGGGTCATCAATCCATTCCCCTAAATCATCTTGCAGGGCAGTAATTTTCTATTTCTTTCTTTTGATCACTGTGGAAGCATGGAAGAATTATGTATTTCGGTCACCCCATTTGAGCCATTTGCAACAATATTTTTGAAACCACCTTAGTTCTTCCTGACCTGCCATTTGTGGTACTCTCTCCAAAGCTTCTGTTCAATTCGAAATAATCTAGTTTTTTCATGGTTTCTTCTGCTTTTATCTATCCCTTCCAACCTCCGAATCACTTCTCGCTTCTTCTTAGTGATGTTTCCCACTTGATTATCGCTCCATTCCTTAGATGACTTCTGAAAAACCCCAAGTCCCTCCAGCCAGTTTTTGTTCACCCAAGCTTCTGTCACACAATGTTTGAAACTTTCTTCTAGGCTCTAGGCTGCTTGGTAAGAGAATCTCAAGCCTTTGTTTACAAGTTGGTTGATCCGAGGCTCCGTGGTTATAATGATGACTGTGTGGTCAGATTTAAACTTCAGGCCATGTTCGACTTTTGTATTTGGATAAGCAGACTCCCAGTAGCTATTATGAAAGACCCAGTCGATTTTTTCCTTCAGACCCTCTCTCCCCCAAGTAAAGTGGTCACCTTGGGTTTGAGTTTCGATAAGCCCCGCATCCTCAACACATTCCTAAAAATTTTTCATTGAGTTTTCATCCGCTCTTGCCCCTCCTTCCTTATCCCTGGCTGATAGGAAAGCATTAAAGTCACCACAAAGAATCCATGGATTAGTGGTGCTTTCTGCTAAGGTCCGGATGGAGTCCCATAGGGATAGGCTCCCCCTAATTGTTGTTTCTCCATAAATTGCAGTAAGCCTAAATTGTTTTCTGGTGCGCAGATCTAAGACTTGACAGTGTAGGAGCTGAGTGTTGGAAGTGATGTAAGTGATTTCAAAATTTACATCGTTCCAGAGCATCCAAATACCCCTCGTAAAACCATTTGCTTCAATTCTAATCCATCTTCCAAAACCCAATTTGCGCACCACTTTATTGGCTCGATTTCCACTGATACGGGGTTCCATGAGGCAGAGGATTTCAATCCCATATTTAGAAACAACATCTTTAACTATAAGTGGGAAGGCATGACTTCCAACCCCTCTGCAGTTCCATGTTGCCATTATCATAATTACAAAATATTTTCAGAGAGAAAAGAAAAAAGTCTTCCTAACGTTGCATGCTAGGAGTCTCGGTGACACCAATATTGTCTTGGGTTTCGGCCACTACCGACTCTTGCTCATCCATAGTGTCTTCACCATCATCAACATTTGACCATAGAGGATCTGGTGGCTTTGGTTGGTACATGACAAAGCTATTTGACATCTCTGGGCTTCTGATATCCCCGTATTGCTGTGCAAAGTTTGGTTTTTCTGAGGCCCGAATAGTTTTCACCTCGTGCTCATTACATAGTTCTTGGTCCTTTACCCTTTGCAAGTCAATGTTGTCCAGGTGACCTTGGACCACCACATGGGTCCTTGTGTTTTTACTTTTGGCTTTCCCACCTTTGGGCTCCTAGCTGATAATAACAGCCCGCTCACTTTCATTTCCCTCCCCAGAAGTTTTGGACGGTCCAGTGTTGAAGTTTGGCTCAATACCCGGTTGTTGGTTTTCTTTTCCTTTAGGCCTAGAGCTGACCTTTATTTTAGCCTTTTCCTTCGTCCCTATTCTTCTTCTCACTTCATACGTTTTGTCAGATGGTGCAGCCAGAGCTTTCCTCTTTTCTACTACCACCAAAGCTTTTCCATCTCTGTCAGAGTCGGTGGGACTTGATTTGTGATCAGTTCCTTGCCCTATACCCTCTACCTCTTCATCCTGCATCTCACCAAACACAGCGAATCTGGTGCTCCGCTCAAAAGATGGGATTTTTCTGGTACGATTTTCCGTCCTTCCCGCCACATTTTGTAATCCCTTTTGGTTTACCTGTCTCGATAATCGTGCTTTGTTTGAACAAGAGACTATCATCCATTCGGCGAATTTCTCCCCACCGGCCGTTTCTAGGTTTTCCGGTCTATACGTTTGTTGTAGTGTGGGTTGAGACGGAGAGGGGTTCCTTGCAGAGGAGTTGACCAAACTACCTTTCCAAGGGCATGCTTCACGCTTACGTCCGAACCGACCACAAGCGAAACAGATCAATCCCAAACCTTCGTATTCCATGTTAAAAACTGAATCGGCAAAAATGATTTTTGGGACCAGTTGCTTCTACAAGTTTAATTCCACACAAATCCTTGCAAATCTGCCTCGTTCAACTCTAGCATTTCTGGTGCTGAAATCTTCGAGGGTCTTGAGATCCACTTTCAGAGTTCTTCCTATCCTATCCCCCAATCTCGATATAAAATGGTGATTATAGCAATGCATTGGAATATCTGGAATTCTAATCCATGTTGCCACTCGCCCCAGCGGGTTCTGGTAAGGATTAAAGTAAGGATTCCATCGTTGCACTAACACGCAATGTTGACCGACGATCCACGGCCCCTCACATAAGACTTTCCTGTAATGGTTTCTCCACTGTTTTGTATCTGTAAAACGAGCTAGGAAATAGTTTTTTGGCAGATCGATCAATTCAAAACTTGAGAATCCCCACGCCTTCTTGAAGAATTCTTTCAACCAGTATAGATTAAATCTCTTGCCCAGAATAGTCAGAATCATAGAGTGATTCCATAGTTCACACCACTCATTGAACTCATCTTGTGTGGCTGGCACAACCGGGTAGATTTCCATAAGTTTATTAACTTCCTCTGAGGGCTCTGGCATTTTCCAGTAAAAGTCATCATCTCCTTTAAGAAGGTCATCTTCCTCCATTACACTAGATCCAATTGCAACTCCATTGAAACCCATTAGAGATTCTCGATACGACGGAATTTTCTGGGTCGTAGTTTCTGAGTTTTTCGGCAGTTTCTCTTCCGGTTCTCTTTCCCCTTTGCCCATATCTTTTTGCGTTTCGTGATCACAATCTTGGTTTTCATCCATCCTATCGTCCATTATGGCTTGTGGGACCTCCTCCACCTTCTTTTTTTTCCGTTCAATACTTCGATCATCGGCAAGCGGATGGTCCGGTGGGACCTTACGTTGGCCAGATTCAGACATTTACACATTGGCGCAAATCCCAAGAGAGAGAAAATCCTAACCCACTAAGAGCTTAATTTTTTTATGGCTGATAGGAGGCCTACTTTCTGAAAGCTTGTTACACTTCGTAAGCAGTCACTAAGTATAAGAGCTAGTTACACGTATAATAATTCAAACTCGTATCGTTAAACATATAATTAAGAACCCCCTCTCTCTCTCTCACTCACACACATCATTGGGCTTGTTACCCGTATAATAATTAAGCTGAGAAATCCATTGATGTAGATATTCAGGATTCAGTTATTTTTAATTTGAGTTTCATTTTATTTATCTCAATTTAATTTAATTAATTATTGAGTTGTTGACAGTTGCTCGTAATCCCATTACCCCACTTCACTATTTTAGATTTTATTATTTATTTTAACTTCATAATTAGTTTAGTTTATAAACGTAAATGACTAGCCTGAATAATTTTTTTAGTATATATAAATTAGCTATCAAATTCTGAAATTTAAAATTAGGAGTAATCTTGTTTTTTGGCCAAAAAAATTAGGAGTAATAATATTTATTTTTTAATATTGTGGGGAAAGGGCCCAAGGATCCCACAATCTCGGATCTGTTGCATTGATGACAATGGTGAGGGAGAAAAGGGCGAGTCACGCTCACGCATGCGGCTGTGACGGTTTTGTTTTGTTTCGTTGTTTTTTTTTGGTATGTCTTTTTGTATGGATCAGGGAAGCTCCTGCAAATCTGGGTCAATTAAAAACTGGAGGCCCACACACTCATTAAATTGGGCTGTCTAAAGTAGAGTCAGGCCCATTTCTTAAATTTGAAAGTGGTCATAGCTGTCTTTTGTCTTTCATTCATCCTTAGACAATAAACTCCATTAAAAATTTAGGATAGCCCAAATATTTGCCTTACAAGAATAACAGGTAATTTAATTTAATTAGGTAATTTTATTCATTTTTATCTCCATTCCTTTTTCTTTTTCTGTTCTACAAAACATTTTTGATCTTGGTTTCATTCCATGAAATCGGAACTACCAATTAGATTTAAATAATTGAAATCTCATTTCGATCAGCACTAACCTAAAATATAACCTTTTTTTTTTTTTGCTAAGCACAAGTATCCTCATAATTGAAGCAATCTTGTTTGAGGCCCTCTCAGGTACTTAATGTGAGCGCTTCTCCTAATGAAAATTTGAACCTTAACTCACAATGTTGTAAGAGACTGGCTTTTTTGCTAGACTTAAATCACATCTCTTGATATAAATTCATTATGATTCTTAACGATTTAATAATTCTGATGGGAGAAAAACCATTTTTGAGCACTGCTACCTTGTTACCTATTATTTTTCCCTATGCTAGGGAATAAGATATATATTTTTGCATTGACAGTGCCTATCCATGGATTAGGCTCACAAATGAGTTTGCTGTCGCAAGGATTATGGTGAATCCAACAATATTAATAATTTGCAGCTGAGTATCATTTGTGAGTATAGTCTCTGAAAATAACACAGTAGAGGCACTCCCCACCTTAGAAAAATCCAGAAAATAATGCATTTAAGATAAATGTAATAAGGTATCATACTCAATAGGTTCATCAAAATTTATTGTGTCTCCAGTAGAGAAGAGCGAGGTTGCAGAAAAGGGAAGGAAAAAAAAGCACAGGCCAGAGTGATGGAAGCAACAGAAATCCTTGGAAAGAACCAATCAGCTTAACGAAAAAAAAACCAGTTCCGACTGTTCTGATCACAGCCACCAGTGCTATTCCTAGAAGAATCGCAAAATCTTTCTTTAAACCATATAATTCTGGAATGCATGAACAAGTTTTATTTAAACTCTTCCAAAGTTTTGCAAGTGTGCTATTACACTATCTTACCGTACCTTTACAATTTCCCTACACCTTAGAAATAAAGATCATAAAGTGCAGACTACACATACAAACTACCTGGAAACAATGTATTTTAATAATATTGAAAATATATAGAAACATGAATATTGACTGGAAACCAAATTGGGCGAAAGATTGAACATAACCAACTCAGCAAGCCCAGCAAATCAACTAACCACTCACTTGTAATGAAAAGTATAATATCGGTTTGAACGATGCGCGTTGCCGTTCAGCTCTCAGTGTTTATTTCCTTTTTTTTGGGCAAAATTTCCGTGTTTATTACTGAGTATCTTATTTTTAAACCTCATTTTATACATTCCAGTCCAATATGGGCTATTTTTATCTATATCATTTTTTTTTTATAGAAAAACCAATAAAAATCCTTGATCCCTATCGTGATTTCTTGATTTGGGGATCTTTCAAGTGTAATTATTTCATGGGGCATTTTGTTGTGTCTCATTCCGTTAGGAGTCTTTAAGAGTAGTCTTGGTTTATAATTATAAGATTGGACGCTCAAATGCCCAAGAAATGGGACCTTATTAGCATTCAATCTTAAACCTACCAACAGGAGTTAAGTTTAGGGGAAGGGGCCGATCTCTCATAATGTTGCAAACTAAGATTCGAATCCTTATTGAAAGAGATACCTACATTTAGTGTCATACAGTACTTTAAATAGAATTGCCTTCATTAAAAGGATACTTATACCTAGGAAAAAAAATCAGTTGATTTAGTCAATCGTGTGCTTTAGTATTTGTTGAAAATAAATGATTGAGACTTAATATTTTATAATTTTTTATTGTCATGTAATTTACAATTATGAATTATTCGGATTAAATTTTCATACTTTAATTTATTTGTTTACTTTTATATAACATTAATCACAAGATATTAAATTTCAACGCATTCTTTTTTCATCCGACGACAAGAATATGAATGGGATGAGGAGAAAGAAAAGAGAAGATAGAGAAAGGATTCAGATCTGACATTCTCTTCGGCTTCTTCTTAGTTTATTCTTTTTTAGGTTAAAGAGGCCTTTGATTAGTGCTTAGCGATTAGTGTTTGCGTATGCTTCTCAGTTACTTTTTTCTTTAGCGATCGGTGACGCCCCTGGGGCCCCATGAATCCGTGTATGTTTAAATCAGCATCACCACGTACAAGAGAAGAGCAATATGCTCCCTCTCGTCTTTTTCATAAGATCTAGTTAATTATACATTGTGATTTTAAAAGAACAGTTAAACTTAATTAAAAATAATAAATATATAAAAATTATGCTTTTTTTAAATGTATTCTGATTTAATTAGAAAATAAATAAGAAAGAGAAATATTAATAATGAAATACATGATGAGAGAGAATGAAATACGAGAAAAAGATAAAGAGAGACAATAACAAAATTAATTAGGAGAAAAATTGATAAAAACACATTTTATATTCAGACAATTCTAAGTAAGATCTTATAAGGAAAAAAAAAGCAAATCAATTCAAATTTTGGGATATTATAAGTAGGATGGGGGAGTAATCAATCGCCTCCAAATTAAAGCCACCAGCCTTAGGCTAAATTCTTGATTAAGGAAGTAGATACCAATCTTAATTTCCAAGGACTTTAATTTGTTTATTTCGATTGGTAATTAACTAAGGGCACAGAGTCAAGCGAGGATATCGGCATATACCCATGTGAGAGATGCTCGGATCACAAGAATATACTCTTTCAATCTTTAATATAAGACCTAATTAATTAATTTAAGTAAATTAAGAATGCTAGTCAAATTAGTTAATATGATTTTTTTTAAAACACTCTAAGTATCTTCCTTAATTCTCTCCTTACTTGTTCTACTTGATTATTGTTGGGAGAATATTAATAGAATTAATTTGAGAAAAATTTATAAATATTTAAAATAGGTCTTATATATAAAACCAATATTAACTTTCTTATATGTTTTTATATCAAGGACAAGAAAAGTATATTACTCCTGTCAGTACTAGCGAAGACACAACGATGATATGGACCGTTGATTGGAAGCCGTATGTAGAAACCTATTTTTTTCTGTTTTGGTTCTCTTTTGATGAATATATAAATATATCCTCCCACTCCCACCGCCCTGTCCCCCCCCCCCCAAAAACAAAAAAAAAATATTTAGAAGGGGAACTATAATAAAGGAAGAGGGAAGGAGTGGATATAAAAGGATGGGGTATTAATTATAATTTTCTTCAAACCCTAAAAGCAAGGGCAGCCCGCGAGAAACTGATAAGATGGAATATTTAGTAGTTGTAATTTTCTTCACAAATGAAAAAGAAAGAAGTGAACTCGTTCACGACAGTTCTCCTTTTTATTTTTAAAAAAAATCAAAATCAAAATGTGAACGAGTTTATCAAAATGAGGCAAATGTATAGTTTGGTGAAGCTGCTTTTTTATTAAAAAAATGACATGAACCATTTAATAAATAATAAACTAGTGATATCATTAAAAAAGAGAGAGCAAAACAAATATATATATATATATATATAATCTAATAAATTAAGGACAAGTTAAACAAATATATGTGTGAACACACATATATATAGAGAATGAAATAAGTCAAGATAGAATATAAAATAAAATGAAAAAGAAAAAGAAAAAGAGAAAAATTTATGTACGGAATCAAAGAACAATTATACAAATAGATAAAATAAGATAAAACGAACAAATGATATAATAAATAAAAACGCATGTATATAATACTATATGTTTTTTGCCAGAAATATAATACTATAATGTTCGTTGAAGAATATGATATATAATGCCGACGGGAAGAAAATTACTTGAAGCATAGAAATTGGAGTTACTCTGTAAATTTAACTAACTAAAGATAACTTTTAAAAGGTTGAGATAAAATAAAGAAACATAAAAGCAAAAGAAAGGAAGATTGTACTTCATAATAAAATTACAGGCATTGTTATAAAAAAAAATTACAGGCATAATATTAAAACAACGTATCAAAATGTATATAATACAAATAAGACATGTTATCTATGAGCTTGACAGGGAAAATAAAGGATTGGAACGATTCAATATATCAAATATGAGATAAATATAGAATAATGAATATAGTGTAGAGCTCAGACGGACGGAATTTCAAAAGAAATTTCATTT